AACTTTAAAAAAAAAATTTATTTTTACTGGAGGAAAAAAACTTTTTAATTTGCTTTTTTTAAATTAGATTTTTCTGCTTTATTTTAAAGAATAATGTATATTAATGATTGAAAAATGACAAATGAAATTAAGAATAAAATCACTGGAAATGTTGAAAAAAACTGTAAATAATGTCCACATCACACATCTGTATGTTTCTAAATTAGATTTTATTATTTTACAACGTGACTGGAAAATTGCTCAATTTTGTTTTGTTTTGTGTTTGTGTTTTTTTTTTTTTTTTGCTGTATTTACATTTTTTATTAATACATTTCTAAAACTTAGCAACATTTTATTTCTAAACTGTTTTTTGTTTCTTAGGAATCAGAGCTGCCTGATTTATTTTATTTTTATTTTATTTTTTAGAGGATTTTTTAAAGCTGCATTTTCATCATTTGACAGAACAAACTTTGTGTATTCAGACTGATAAACGCTGACTCATGTTTCCATCGTCTTCCTGCAGCTCCGGCCATCAACTGGAGTCGCGGCGTGTCGTCGCACGGCGGCGGAGGAATCAAACCCACGGGCCTCGCCGAGGTCCACAGCAAGTTCCGTCCGGTGAAGAGAGTCTCTCCGCTCAAACACCAGCCCGAGACCACCGACTCGGACTCCGACGGCAAAGCCCAGAACCAGGGCCTGGTTCTGGGGGAGCCGGCCGAGGGCGGCAAGGATGACCCCGGTTCCGATAAACCCGCCAACGCCTCCAACTCGTCCTCGGACGGGCCCGGGGGGAAGGCCAAGGGGCTCGGAGGCGGCGGCGGTGGCGGCAACCCTCAGGCGCTGTTCGGCGAGCTGGAGCACTACGACCTGGACATGGACGAGATCCTGGACGTGCCTTACATCAAGTCCAGCCAGCAGATGTCCACGCTGCCCCGAGTCCCCCACGACAAGCGCTCGGTGACGGGCAGCAACCTGGGAGGAGGAACCCTGGAGAGGAACCGGGGAGGAGGCCTGAAGGGCTCCGCTCTGCCCCACGGCGAGCCTCTGAGTCTGGGAGGAGGCAGCAGCCAGACACCGGTGAGTCTAAGCTCTGTGAGGTCCAGCACCGAGGTCCGAACCCTCCTGCAGGAGGTCTAGAGGCGTGTCTCCTGACATGTAAAGTGTTCCTTCAGTGGGTCAGAACCTTCCAGATCAACACAGTGCTCCTCTGAAGCTCCTGTTGTTTAGTTTATGGGACTGACAGAGTTCTGGTTCCTGTGTCCCTCCAGTACTGCGTTCTGTCTCCGGTGAAGTGGTCCGACCTCAGGAAGTCCAAGTCCATGGATCCAGACCTCCATCACCTGCACCGCTCCCCAGGAGGAGGAGGAGGCTACCAGCCGGAGCTGCTCTCCTCGGGCCTCCTCAGCTGCTCCTCCTCCATGTCGTCCTTCTCCGACGCCGGTAAGAACTCTGGAACACTGAACCTCCTCCTCCTCCTCCTCCTCCTCCTCTTGTGCTAAACTCACCTCCTCCTCTTCTTCTTCTCTTCCAGACAAGCTGCTGTCGGCCCGGGTCTACCCAGACTCCCAGAACCAGAGGCCCAGCGTGGAGCCTCCAGGAGGTCCAGGGATGATGTTCCCCCTACCGGGGTGCAGCGTGGGCAGGCAGGACGGATCCAAACCCTGGACTCCTGGAGCTGGAGGAGGAGGAGGTGGAGGAGGACCAAGGGGGTTTGGAGGAGGAGGAGGAGGTGGAGGGGAGGTGGACGAGGAGACCAAGAAGAACCAGAACATCATCAACATCGTCAGAGAGGGACAGATCTCACTGCTGGTGGGTGTTTAGCGCCGTTGCTCCTCCTCTTCACCTCCTCCTGTTCCTTCTTTCTCCTCTTTTTACTCCCCTAATCCCAAACACATTGTTCTCCTCTTGTTCCTCATCCTGTTCCTCCTCATTTCTTTTTTTTTTCTCTCCTCATCATCCAGTTCCTCCTCTACATTTTCCTCCTCCTCCTCCATGCTCTTCTTCTCCTCCTTCAACATTTTCTCCTGCTGTTCTTTTTTCCTCCTCTTTTTATTTCTCCTCCTCATGTTCCTCCATCTTCTCTTCTTCCACCTCCCTTTGCTCCTCCTCCTCTTCATCCTCCATCCACCTCCTTTTTCTTTCTCCTCCTTTCCCTCCACCTCCTCCTCCTAAACCCCTTGTTTTTACTCCTCTTTTTCTGTCTTTCCTCCCGTTCTTTGACTTCTTCCTCCTCTTTTTGCTCCTCCTGCTCCTTTTCTTCTTTTTCTTTCTCCTCCTCCTTTCCTCTACATACTCCTCCTCCTCTTCCTTCTTGTCTCCTCCTCCTTCCTTTCCTCCTCCTTCCTTTCCTCCTCCACATCTACTTTGTTTTTCTGCTTCTTTTCATCCTTCTCCAAAACTTAGCCTTCTTCCTCCTCCTTTTTTTGCTCCTCCTGCTCCCTTTCTTCTTTTTTCATTCTCCTTCCTCCTCCTTTCTTCTGCATACTCCTCCTCCTCTTCCTGCTTATCTCCTCCTCCATCTTTTCTTTCTCCTCCTTCATGCTCCTCTTCCATCTTTTCCTCCTCCCTCGTTACCTCCTCCACGTCTTTTTCTGCTTCTTTTCATCCTCCTCCTTCTCCAAAACTTAGCCTTCCTCCTCCTGCTCCTCACCTTTCTCTACATCCTCCTCCTCCTCCAAAACCTCTCGTTCTTTCACCTGTTTCTTCCTCCTCCTCCTGTCTATGATTCTTCGTTTCCTCCTCATCACGTTTTTCTTTCTTTCCTCGCCTCCCCCTGCTCCTTCCTCCTCCTCTCTATAACTTTTACCAGAGACGTAGCTCCTTATGACGTCTTTATTTTCATCCTCCTTCAGTGAGGCGTCAGTTTTACCTGCTATAATCTCGTCTCCTCCTCCTGTTCCTCCTCCTGCTCCTCCTGCAGCCTCACCTGGCAGCCGACAACCTGGAGCTGATCAGGGACGACGACGGGAACAACCTGCTCCATATCTCGGCCTCCCAGGGCCACGCCGACTGCCTGCAGCACCTCACCTCCCTGATGGGGGAGGACGGCCTGAACGAACGCAACAACCAGCAGCTCACGCCGGCCGGCCTCGGCGTCAAGGTCGGTGCTGCTGCTCACACTGTGTCACGTACAAATGTATAAAACGACGGCAAACACACACGAAGCTACTCGAAACAGACGTAGAACGAGCAGGAAGAGACAGAAAACGACCACATGATGCAAAATGGCTGCTAAAGGGATAAAAATAATCTGAAAAGAGCTGATAGAAGACATGTTAATGATGAAATAAGAGATTAAAACTGATTAAAAAAGACAGAAAAACAAAAGCAAAACAAACAGTGGAAGTTCCATGTCGTCCACCATGTGGTCGTTTAGTGAAAGAGGTTACGGGTCGTAAACATCTGGACAAGATGAGACGTAGACTGAAAGGATCTGGTGGGAAATTTAATGATCAGTGGCTGCCGTGTCTGTCCTACTTTGTCTGCTGAGAAACTTTATTAATTTGCATAAACTCTGCAGACAAATCACATAAGATGTGTAACCTGATGCTGTGATCGGTATAGCAGGAGATGTTTAGTTTTGTTTGATGTTTAACATAAATAAATAAAAAGGCATCGATCAAAAAAGACAAACACTGAGCGCTACTACCAGCTGAAAATGACATATATATATATATATATATATATATAGCTGAAACCAGAAGTTTGAGTGCCATTAAAGCACATTTATATATATTATGTCATTTATATATATTTACGGTGCTTAAAAACTTAGACAGGTGGCCTCATGCATCTGTTAAATGCTGTAAATATGATGAATATTTGTTTGTTCGTTCCTTTTAAGCAGAAAACAACCAGGTTACAGTGATTTAATGTGCAGCAAACACCAGCCGTTTGTGGCTGTTTGTGATTAAAGGTGGAGGTGAGTTCAGTCGCCTCAGGTTGAGTAACGTCGTCTCTGCGTGACGGTGCAGCTGATTGTCTTTAGCGCTGACTAGCTAGCTGCCAGGCACGCTGTCACTGGTTTTATATTATTAGTACGCATTTAGCTAGATTCACACCATTAAAACCGGTATTAAGACGAAGTGATGCAACGTTTAGGAGTTTATTTTAGTTTCCAGCTGCCATCAGAGCTCTTGACAGCAGAATAATCACCTGGTGAGAAAATATAAATGTACTAATACACTGAAAACAACTGCCTGTTTTGCAGAGACTCTATGAACTCCTGAGAAAAATGTGTCGTGAGTAGTTTTAATGTCTGGCTTTATGTATTAATGCGTTGGACCAATGCTCGTCGGGTCACGTGACAGAATTAACTCGGTGTGCAGGAACTAGCAGCAGGAGAACCTGGCAGCAACCACACCTCTAGACAAACCTTTAAAGCCTTGGAGAACCCGACCGATGCAGCTTTATGTCATTTAAAACCTAACAAAGGTGTGAACAGACGTTTTTATGCAGCTTCAGTCGTACATTCACTGTGAATCCTGCTTCAGATTTCCTCCGTTTTTCTCTTGCCGATGGAAACATCAGCCCTGAAAGACAGAAACCAGACGAGGCAGCCGGTCGTCGAGGTCGTAGCGAGCTGAGATTGTTGATAAGACAATGTGGCAGCGGCAGCAGGAAGTCGGTCTGGTTCTGTGGAAACCAGGCTGCTGATTGGCCGCCAGACAGGAAGCGTGTTATCAGGAGACAAGCTGGGCAGCTGTGTGCCGACCCCTGATTGGCTCTTATCGACAGGACGCTTGTTTGGTGTCTCAGGTTAACGGGAGCTGCTGCTTCTCACTGAGACGTGTTGGGAGACTTTATGTTCTGCTCATAAATGTGTTTAGAGTCTCGTTTAGACGAAGCTCGTGGTTGTGGTTGGGAGGATATAAGCGGGTTTTAGTTGCTCTGTGGTGAAACCCAAGTGTGTTGTCGTTGCAGAACGGCCATCTGGAGTGTGTGCGGTGGATGGTGAGCGAAACCGAAGCCATAGCCGAGCTGAGCTGCACCAGAGAGCATCCCAGCCTGATCCACTACGCTGCCCGCTACGGACAGGTAACACGCCGACACCTGGACAACACCTGCACGGTCACACACTGTCAGCTCCTCATGAGGAAACTTACAGAGAAGGTTTACAGTCGTGGTTAGATCAGAAAAATGTCAGATTCTGCCCTCGCTGAGCATCGGTAAGTTTGGTGGTTCTTTAAATGAGACACAAAGATTTCCAGGTTTATTTCTCCAGTAGAACATTAAATCACATGCTGTCGGTCACAAAACATATTTTACTGTTTTATCCAGCTGGATTTAAAACCTTAATAACTCAAACAGAACTGTAACAAAACGTGGGAAATAAAAGGCACATGGTCCACTAGCATAATGCTAACATACAATGGAAATTGCCATAGACACGCTAATGGAAATTAGCACCAAATTTCAACAAGACAGTGTGAATGAGCTGCTTCACTTTGAGTGCTCAGAATACACTCAGATTTAAAGAGTGTGCTCAACTTTCATGCATATGATCCCTCTGCTTCTAAAATATTAGAAAATACGTTCAATACTTTGGATTTTGTTGCACAAATCGCTGAAGACTGACCTGAAATAAATGCTTAGTTTTTGCTGTTTTATTTCATAATTTAGTGGCCTGATGTTTGCTGATGTAACGGAGCTGATTTAGGACAAAAACATTCAGTTTAATATGTCGTGTGCAGTATTTCATCAGGTCATATTCTCATTTCTCAGGGGCAATAGTTTATTTACAGGTGCAAAATGTCACTTTTATGTACGATGTTGTCGACGTGATGTGGAATGTTTGTGTTTGATTTAACTTTTTAGCTCCAGTATAATCACCAGCTTTACTTTCTTGAGTCTTATTTTAGTTTAACCATTTTATTTCAGTATTGTATTGTACTTATATCTTATTCCTCTTCTGTCATTTAGTTTTTTCCTAAATAATATCTGGCACAAGAACGTCCTTCAGGATTATTTAGATTTTTTTTCAACCATGAATGTTGAAGGAAGCTCTTTAAAATGTGCGTCTCTTAACGGATCAGGCGTCTCCTCTGTTGGTTTCTGTGCAGGAGAAGGTTCTGCTGTGGCTGCTCCAGTTCATGCAGGAACAGGCCATTTCTCTGGACGAGGTCGACCAGAACGGAAACACGGCGGTTCACGTGGCAGCGCAGTACGGACACCTCACCTGTATACAGGTAACGCCCACCGCTGCTACAGTCGTTCCTTCACTGCAGCTCAGCGTTCAGTAGAACCTGCAGAACTGAGGCAGCAGAACATCAAACTGGGTCGAGTACATTTAAGGAGCTTCCTCGCAGCAACAGCTGCAGCTTTCTCTGAAGGTGGGACTCGATGCAAACAGAAGTATAGCCAGCTCTTAGACACACAAAGAAGAACGAGCTACAAAAAACAATAAAAAAATAGCTGATAAAAGACAGAAGACAAGACAAAAAGAGATAAAAACTGATGAAAACAGACACAAAACGAACACAAACAGGCGCAAAAAGCAATAAAACAACAGAAAAGATGCACAAACTTAACAGAAACAGTGAGCTACAAAACAGCAAAAGAGAGCGAAACGACTACAAAGACACACAAAGAGACACAAAATGATCACAGAAAGTTAGAACCAAACACAGAAACAATAAAAATGAGACGACGAATAAACTCAGAATGACCAGAGAGAGATAAAAACTGATGAAAAGAGACACGAAACGAACACAAACAGACGCAAAAGGCAACAACACAACAGCAAAGATGCACAAAATGACTCAAAACAAACACTAAGAGTTCCTAAACAGCGACATAAGGAGCAGAAAGAGACAGAATCAGTCGACTCCAGACTCACTGATGTCCAGGAAGTCGTCTGCGTTTCTGCTTTTTGTTCAAAGCGTCGAGTGTAAACTTTCTGGCATCTCAACAACCAACATGCAGGTTATTTAAAAACAGCAGCTGACTTTCTGTGTTTCATTCCTCAGTTGTTCCTCTGATGCATCAACAGTTTATTTATTAATCAGATGAATCAGTGCAGCTGCTGCGGTCCCTGTATGTTCTGTTTGTTCAGTAGAAAGAAGAAAAAGATGCAAAATCACCTAAAATGATAATAATATGTACAAACACCAAGAAGAAGAAAATCGCCACAATAAGTTAAAAGAATCTCTAAAACAATATGTGAGAACACCAAAAAAAGAAGCAAAATCCCCAGAAGAAGAGGTGAAATCACCAGAAATGATTGAAAGCAACACAAGAAGAGGCAAAATGCACAAACACTAAAAAAGATGCAAAGAAGAAATCATGACAATAGGACTTCAAAATGCAAAAAAATCCCCCCAAAAGTAAAAAAGAATGTGCATAAAAATAGTGATGACAAAAAAGATGCAAAATCCCCAGAAAAAGAGATGAAATCACAAAAAAAATATTTGCAAACACCAAAAAGAGAGAAAATCTACACAAAAACATCACAAGATCATCACAAAGTTGTGTTTATTTCAGTATGAAACAGAAAAGGATGTAAAATCCTCATAAAAAAAGATGCAAAAGCACAAAAATAAGATGCTCAAACACCCCAATGAGAATTTAAATCACCAAAAAATCCCAAAAAGTCCAAACAATAGCGAGAACAACAAAAAAGAGGCAAAATCAGTCACAAGATCAACAACAACAAAAAATATTCCCAAACACCAAGAAGAGACAAAATCTACACAAAAAAGATCTCCAGATCACCACAAAGTTCTGTTTATTTCAGTCGAAAGAAGAAAATGATTCAAAGTCCCCATAAAAAGATGCAAAATCAACAAAAAATAAGAAGCACAAACACCCCAATAAGACGTTAAATCACCAAAAAATCCCCTAAAAGTAAAACGAATGTCCAAACAATTGTGGGAAAAAGCTAAAAATGTGCAAAATCACAAAAAATTAAACACCAAAAAAGATGCAAAAAGAAATCTCCACAATAAGACTTCGAAATGCAAAAAAATCCTCCCAAAAGTTAAAAAAAAGTTTTTAAAAAAATAGCGAGAACAACAAAAAAAGATGCAAAATCTCCACAAAAAGACAATCAACAAGATAATATTCCCAAACACCAAGAACATCCCCAGATCACCACAGAAACAGACGTCACCAGTCGATACCGTTTTAGTTTCATAAACCAGATGAGTCTGTCAGCTGCTCCCTGGATGTTCTGATCCGGTCAGGAGGTTTAATTTGCTGCTGAGTCCAGTGTTTGGTTCTGTTTCTCCATTAAAACCCTGACTGACTCCAGTAATCAGGCTTTTCTCCGTGAGGCTGGTTTCCTGCTCGGATGTTGTCGCTCTCGTCTGCTTCCTGACCGACTGACCCGCTGTGTTTAATCTGATGTCTGTGGTCCAGACCCTGGTGGAGTACGGCTCCAACGTGACGGTGCAGAACCAGCAGGCCGAGCGTCCGTCCCAGAGCGCCGAGCGCCAGGGCCACACCACCTGCGCCCGCTACCTGGTCGTCGTGGAGACCTGCATGTCGCTGGCGTCGCAGGTCGTCAAGCTCACCAAACAGCTCAACGAGTGAGTCGCACGACTCGGTCACGTCACAGTCACCTAGTTTTTGATAAAACCTGAGAATTTTCCAGCCAGTTGTGGCTCCATCGCTGCACAAGTCATAAAATCCAAACAAACCAAAGAAAAGCTCGTCTAATGACTCCGTTAATGAATGAAGAATGAATAAAACTCTACAGACTCAATCCAAAACCAGACAAAACAACATTACCGTAATGTCTAGACTATAAGCCGCTACTTTTTTCACACACTTTGAACACTGCGGCTTCAGAAAAAGCATTTACGTGTTTCTGTACGTTACCACGACGTATTTAATTAAAAGTTTAAAACATCTTTGTGTGTAAATATCTCATGTTCCAACGTGGACACCTGCAGCTCATATTCAGGTGCTCAATAGTCCAGAATTTACGGTAACTGATTAAACAAAAGGAATTCCCACTGGACTGAGTTGGATCATTTACGGCACCAGAACCAAATGTACTAATAGACACACTGCAGCAGTGTTTGGTAAAAGATTATAAAGTCTTATATGTGTGTATAAATGTGTATAAATGTGTGTGTTTGTTTTGCAGACAGGCAGCAGAGAGGATGACTCTGCAGAAACAGATGCAGAGACTGATGGACCCCAACAAAGCCGAGGGAACCCCCAACAGGTCGCCAAGGTAACGCTTGTTTTTAATCAGACTAAAGGTTTCCTGTTTCAG